ATTTTCGCTCCATTCCTTGTCTCAGATCATTGAAATTTCAACATTTGTTGCTGTGTGTGTGAAGGATTTATACCGATATTGAAGATAATGACGATTGTGGGAGTGAAAACTAGACCATAAGCGCATGCATTTACTTTCAGTCGAGACAACGTCCGGATTGACCGCTTTGAGATACGAGCATCCAACGCATCAAAGGAGGCCAGAACTGCTCGAGTAGAAAACAGAGACGTCAAAAATAGTTTTTTCGAGTTCGGAAAAGTTCTGATGCTTGCAGCACGAATGACAGATTAAACAAATAAAAGTTAAAAATATAATTTTATGACTTAGACTGCAAAAAAATTGACTTGAAACTCTAAACGCGTTTTTTTAAACTATTTTTTGAAACGGATAACCACGATTTCTCAGATTCTGCCCAACCGATTTACTTGAAATTTTAAGAGAGTCTTCTGTAGGGACTTGGCTATGTCCATTTTGAAATTTTAATTTTTACTATTTTTAAAAAAGGTGGCACAAAAATGTTTTTTTTCCTTAGACAGTCGTCTTCCTGTAAGAAAAAAATTTCTGGAGCTTTTTCGCACTTCCCGGCATATCGACATAATTGTAGTTTGGTTATCTGTTTTATTTTCTGATTTCAGATTTGCTTGTAGAATTAACATCATGGATATGACCACGCAACATAGTTTCGAGTCGCCCCACTCTATCAGCTGATAACTAACGAAATTTTAATTTATTTTAACTTTTTGTATGCGTCTAATGTGAAAAAATAATTTATCAAAAATTGATAATAAAATGTTTCTTGCATTTTTTACAGAACTTCAAAATGGCCTAAAATTCATGTCTCTAGACAAGAATACCTGCTAAATAACATGTTTAAAGTCATTGAATTTAGGTTTACCAATATGCACGTTCTTTGTAATCCACACACCTTCTTTAGTGATGTAAATAAGCAACTCGTCTAAAGCTTGATTTAATGATCCGACAGACGATTTCTAATAAGCCTGTGAAGTAATTTCTGTTTCCATTTCAAATAAATACACTTGATTACACATTCGCATTCAAAGACCAAATTTATGTTTTACAAAAAAATTTTTCTGTTGGTTTAAATCTTCGAAATGATGTTAAACTAGGGTTTGGCACCGCGTTTGTGGTTGTGTTTTCACACTTACATGAAAGTATTGATGATAAGTGCCTGGGTGGATTTGAGGCATGTGCACCACTAAAATGTTAATCTAATGGATATTGTGAGTTTCAACTGCAATGACTCAGAATGAGTGGAACTTTGATTTGACTTATAATCCAGCTACAATACCATGAAGCGGTATCAAAAATTTCACTGGGTTCTTCTTCCTTTAATCCTAGTCCAAACATCACTCAATTCAGATTTAACCCTATGCGTCCTAAGACAAATGGATATCAATGTATAATATTAATCAACATTCCCTAATTATAGTAGTTTTCATTGAGCTCGTTATATGCAGTCAGCAAAGCTCTTTATCCCAAGGTTTCAAACATCGTATCCCGCATGTTCATCAAAATCGATTTGTCGTTTGACTAATTTTAGAGCCATATTATTTTTGTTAAGCAGATAAAAAGTCACAATTTTGTTTACATTGGTAATATAAATTGGTAAAAAAAATTTACCTCCGTTATTTTTAAAAAGAATTACGCTCGTGATTGTATCATCATATGCTCCTTTTATTAGACAAATACAAATTATCTCTTCTAACGCATCTTAACATAAACTTGATTGACAGACAGGTTGTGAAAAAGTTTGTAAATGTTTGCTTATTACTACATCGAAATAAACATCACATTATATAAAGTTACCCTTTTTCGCTCATACAATTAATGCATTAGATGTTTTTTTCAAATAAATTCAAGCTTACTCCATGACTATTTTACCAAGTCATTATAGAAAGCCATATTATCTTCCTTGTTTCTAATATTTAAATGTTTAATGAATGTAGAGGCCTACCCAATTTTATTTACCGCTAACGCGAAACACAAACACGTTTATTGCAATTTTCATCAAATTGAATTTCATAAAGAATCCAATTGAGATTTTGTACTGTTTTTAATCCTGAACTCTTTATGTGGCACACCTGCTTGTTGCATATTTTGTGAACATGGTCAAATAATAATAGAAAACCAATTCTGGTAAACGTTCCAGTGAACAAGTTGACCATTTCATCTAAAGAAAAGCGATCTATTCAATTGCGTTAATTTACATCTTATTAGATTTCAATTTAATTCTACTTTAATGGAGCCAGCGAATATTTTACAATTCAATGGAAATTAATGAAAAGAGAAGGCGACTTGTTGGCCACACATGTTTTTCCAACTTTAATAAAGTGGGCATAAACACTTTGGTCATTTAACACACTTTAAATTGAAGTAAGAGTTAAATTTTCTTTCCCTTCACAAGATATTTTTGTCCTGCGTTGTGGTAAATCTCATTCAGATTTAGCATTTCTTTCGTTGGCCTTCTGAGGATATTAAATTAGGTTGTTTTGAAAGGCCACATATATCTAACTGTGTAACTGATATAAAATGCTCCATACAATTAACTGTGAAAAGTTAGTCTCATTGCATCATCATATGCTAATCTTTTCTCGCAATACTTTGGTGACTAATAGACGCTTAAAGATGACGTTAAAGATAAAAATACGTATCCCTGATAATTCGCTCTACTGATAGAAAAGTCAAGTTTTACAGAATTTCTTCCCTTTTCAAATTGAATGAATGGAAATGATGCCTCCGGTATGACTCTATCTGAAAGTAATAAACAACTTGTATAATCAATGTATTTTATCTTACAGTAAATAAAGCGCAACACTTCTATGAATCTCACCTTCTTCCCGGGGTTTAAAAGAATACATACTGAGAAAGGTAAGAACACATAAATGAACAATCCCATGAAAATTTATTTGGTCAAATTATGATGCGCCTTTCATCGAAAAATTCAGTTTTCCTAAATGATACGTGTCAATAGAAATAGATTACCTGATATTTTAATACATGGTTCCCACTTTTGGTTATCGCATATATCACAAGCGTTATTCAAAATTTGTGGCTCTTTTATCACCACTAATATCGACATCAGAAAATAAAAAAAATTGTAGAAAATAACAACCATAATTGTTCAATGGATTGCAAATTAAAATTTTACATACAAATTCAACTACTAATACTAGAGTGGAGTGAAGGTATAATTTAGCATCATTAATGTATATATCACGGGGTGTGCGATAGACATTCTTCCACGTGGTGCACCCTAGACAACGTATCTTCGTACGGCAAAAAGGTTTATCACTGGGCATTTGATTTGACTTTGATTTATTATGATTAGCTTGAAAAAAAAGCTATATGAAAATTCGCCTTCGTCAGGGCGAATCACAACGTCTTTAGATCCTCCAGTGGAATGTTGGAGGGATGTCACAGGACAAAAAGATCAATGTACAGAAAATCCTACAAACCAATGATGTAAACATTTTCACAATTATGGAAGCAAACATTTCGGATGACAAACTAAAGTACTACTAATTCCCAGGTTACACTCTGTACCTTCTACCTAAATACCGGCAAGTTGCAAGCGGAATTCTAACTTTAGTTAAAGAAGGCTTCACCTCACACTACGATCTAATCAAGAGTATTGGCTCGACACAAGACATATGTGAAATAATCAGATTAAATGATTGGAAAATTCAAAACCACTTCAAGGTATATGCCGTCTACAATCCACCCCAGAATTGTCCAAACTTTGACTTTCTGAACACACACAAAACTATAGTACTAGGAGACTTCAACCCCCACTCCACCTACAAAACTATAGCATTAGGAGACTTCAACGCCCATTCCACCAGATGGGGCCAAAACGTAGTATTAGGAGACTTCAACGCCCATTCCACCCGATGGGCTAAGATACAAACATAGCTGGAATCACACAAAACTATAGTATTAGGAGACTTCAACGCCCACTCACACAAAACTGTAGTATTAGGAGACTTCAACGCCCATTCCACCAGATGTGGGTACAAGGACATAAACATGGCTTTAAAGTAAATTGTAGACATGCTAAACAGTAACCCTCTGGAACTTATTTGCAGCAATGGGGATCCGGCTACATATTTGCACTACAATGGATCCAGAACAACTCCTGACTTACCCCTAGCTACAAACGAGATCCTGGTGCTGGTCAAAAACCAGTCATTGTTAGTGTTTCCATCGGGAGCAAAAGCATGACAACGAAAAGTGCCAACGAATTTATCATTGAACTTCAAAAAGGCTGACTGGTCTAGATTCACTAACATTTTAGACAATGAACTTCACACAAGTCCCCTCAACTTGGGACATCCTGACAAACTTTGCACTGATATCACGAATATTATACAACATCTTGACAAACTTTGCAATGATATCGCGAGGCAAGACTAAACACTATCGAGTGTTTTGTTCTAAACATCTTGAGGAACTGAAAAGAAAACGGGACGCTCTTGGCAACACTGCTGATAAGACTGGAAGAACGGAATACGTACAACCCTGGAGACGACAATCAGCTGTTCTAAAGCAAGCCATTTTACAAACTAATCGCACTCCCTTCGACAAGTCTATCTCAAATATCAACTATCAAAGTGATAGCCAACGCACTTTCAAATTTCTGAGAAACCTCCAAAACAACAGAGAAAGACCCAAGAAAGAACCAATAGGCCTAAACAGCAAATCGCCTACCACCGACTCCAAAATAGCTAACTGGTTTGCGAGGTTCTATTCCCACAAGCAAAAGAAAAACACTTACGAGGTTCTATTCCCACAAGCAAAAGAAAAACCCTTTTGTTGACTCTTCAAGAGATATAAAGAAACAAGTAAGACAGTTTGGTATCTTCAAGAAATTTTAAGCTACAAGTCAGAGAGTTTGGTGAAATTAAGAAATACATAGCAACACCAAATAATCTACTTACTGTGCCATTCAGACCTTACAAACTTAATGCTGCGATAAAACATCTTAAGGCTAATGGCAAAGACGATATTCATATGGAATTTCTAATTAGAATTGGATGGTAAGCTAATAAAACCATGCTGACCATTTTCAACAAAATCTGGGAGACCAGTCTCGTAAGTAACCAATTTAAAGTTGCCATAGTAAAACCAGTACTAAAAAAGAGTAAAGACCCTAACAATTTTGACAGCTATAGGCCTATCTTCCTCACAAGCATGCTGGGCAAACTTATAAAAAGAATGTTTACCAGGAGGCTCACCTGGTTCCTTGAGACCAACAATATTCTTAGGAGTGAACAAGCCGGTTTTAGGCCACAAAGATCAACGTACCAACAAGTAGGTACTTTCTCTTAACAGATCAAAGATGCCCTTGATGCATGAAATATTCTTACGGCTGTTTTCGTCGATTTCAAATCAGTATATGACTTGGTATGGAAAGAGAAGCTAATTCTAAAATTGGCAAAGATTGGTACTAAGCATAACATGCTAAACTGGATAAAAGCATTCATTGGACAAAGATCGGGTAAAGTCAGATACGGAAATGCTCTATCAAAACCCAGTCTTTTACAAACAGGTCTTCCACATTGAGCTGTCACAAGCTGCACTCTTTTCAGACAGTCACGGGCATCAAGTCCTTACTTTATACAGATGATCTTGTTCTATGGTATTCCACCCCTAAAAAACGCTCAGGATAGGACTGAAAGTGCTCTTAATAGTGCACTTAAACTACTAGCAAACTGGTACGACAAACTTTTTCTTTGGCCCATCACAGCATAAACCCGCTTCTAATGTACAAGGATACTACCATAGAAAAAACCAATGTGTTCAGATATCTCGAAATGACGTTTGACACAAAGCTAACGTGGAAAAGTCACATTGTTAAAATAGCAGATCGAGTCTCCAATAGACTGAATGTACTGAAGCATTTTGATGGTAGCGTATGAGGTTGCGCACGTTCAACTCTCAACACCACTTTCAAGATGTTTATTCAGCCAATAATGTTGTATGTTTGGAGACCACTCATAACAGCCACAGAGGTGACTCTCAAACCCCTCGTACAGCCATAGAGGTGACTCTCAAACTACTGGAGAAGGCACACAATCAAGCTTTACGACTAATCACTGGAGGGATAAAATCAACACCCATTGATGCAGTGGTCCTAGTTACAGGAAACACCACAATATTTTCCCTTATCAAAGAAAAGGCTTTGATCCTGTCTGAGGAGCTACTGCGCATTCCCATGGATAAGTTCTTCAGCACCTATGAGAATAGACCAATATGGATAAGTTCTTCAGCACCTATGAGAATAGACCAAGACACAAGAAAGCGCAATATGGTCTAATACGCAAAGCTATGGAACTGAACAAAGAATTAAAAATCGATGACAAACCAAAAAGCCTCTCTTCACCCATGAACCCATTAGCAGACACTGATGTAGTGTGTTGCAACCAACTGCTTGACTTCTTTAGGAAATCAAACACCTTTCCAAATCAAATGCGCTAACTGGCCCTTGAGACAATCAATGTCAAATATCATGGATATCAAAGGCTTCAGGTCTTCACTGACGGGTCATACATAGAGAACCAAGCAAACGTTGGTGCAGGTGTCTATTCTGTACTCTTCTCTTTCTACGCAGCAGCGGGACACAATAGATCCGCTTTTGAAGGCCAAATAGAGGCCATTAGAATAGCACTATGCCAATTATGTTGCCTGGATACGAAATTTACAAAGCGGTGATACTTTCGGACTCACAGTCAGCAATAAACTCAATTGGCAACAGAGAGCCACCCAAAACAGCTGAGATAAAGGAATGTAAAAAACTCTATGAGCTGCTAAGAGAGAAAAACAAAACAGTGGTCCTACAATGGATTCCTGGTCACTGTGGCATTAAAGGCAATGAGATTGCTGACACACTTGCTAAGAAGGAGAAAACGATTTTACAATGCATGGACCACCCGATGTCTTTCCACACAATAAAGGCCTTAATCAGGAGAGAATTCCAGACCTCAAGGTGCAACAAACTTACAGCTTGAACAAAGGAGAAACAATGGACATTGCCACACTCCGGCATAGCCGACTGGCCAAGAATCGAAGCCTTTGCTGAGTTTAGGCTGCTTACCGGACACGATTGCTTGGCAAAACACCTTCAGAGATTGGGAGTATACACTCAACCCGGCCGTAGAAATTGATAGACTACAGTTGGAATTGAAATATGTTCGTCTTTGCATGCTTTCTGGGCTCTATATAAGCTGCAAAATTTGTATTGGATATTTACTTGGTAATCGCATTCCTAAATCGTTACATGATCCCATTATCCTGGTTCTTGTAGCATTTAATCAAGTAATAAAGCACAACAAGCGCATTGAATTTTCCATACGGTCGTCTTGATGTCATGATAAAATGATGATGAAAACAGGGACGTCGTTTTCTTCATATTTCATTTTAGAATGTTTAGTATGATGACATTTGTGGCTTAAGACACGTATTGTGAAGCCTGAAAACAAGATTAATTACACTTTGCATGCGCTTAGCACAATCGTTTTGAAAAGCATTTATCGATATTTTTGCATTCCGGTGATAGACACTAAATTACGCAATTTCAACTTATCAAATACTGATCTCATGCAACATGCTTAATCTTTGGTCATTTTTGATAGATGTGAAATTACTAAGCTTTTTTATTTTTTTTTGTTTTTGTCTAAATTCCGAAAGAGCACTTTCTTCTACAAATTGAAAAATGATTATATATATATTATGAATAAATTTTCAATATGAAATTTTAAAATATCTTGAATAGGGTGCAAAATGTATTGTCTTGTACTTTATTGGCAATTGGGATTTACTCCAATGCGTAAAACCTTTTTCGATACAAAGAGTCGTTTGAGCGAATTTCAAGATTTCCTGCCATTTTAATTCGTAAAACTAGTATGCGTAATTTCCAACAATGGGAGCTTCATTGACTCTCTTTTGCATCTAATTTAAATTTTAGCAGAAATAAATAAATATTATATCAACATGAGTGACTTAACACAATAACCGGTGCAATTAAGCTATATCATATCCACCTTTATCGTCAAATGTGAACTTCTACTTTGAGTGAAGAACAAAATTTTTACCTTTCAACAGTAGTAATTGATGACAAATTCTAGGTCAACAAAGTTGGATGCACAGTAAATGTGGGCAACAATATCTCCCAATTTCACATATATTTCTTCGGGGCTTTGTTTGGAAGGAGGCTTCTATTTATTTAATTAGGAAATTGGAGTTAAACAGGAAGTGGCACACGTTGCATTGTCCATATCTTTCTTTTTCATCTGTCACAAACAACATGAGCGCTCTAACATTGTAAATAAATATTGATTTCATTATCTGGCTACATCAAAGTTGCATCAACAATACAGAGGTAGCAGTCTCCTCATATTAAAGTAGTCTAATTTGTTTAAATCTCTTTTATCAGTCTTTAGATATTTCAACCCATCTTATTATCCAAATATGAAAACCACGCCTCCAAAGGTATATGATCTTGCCGGGAGGTATCATATTAAAATTAAATTATTCATTGCCACTTGTAAGACATTCGCTTGCAATTTGTGCATTTCTAATTAAGCAAGGTATTGTGAGTTTTTTCTAGCAATACAATAAATGTTTTTTCACCAAATGTATCATGCACCACTCAATTAGAATTTTCAATAAACAATGTTTCAAGTGGTGGACATGTTTGGAGAAACTCAAAATCAATTGATCGTCGCACACATTGGTCTATGGTAGCTGCAAATAATTCCTTCTTTTGGAAAATTAGGTTCCAATTTGATCGAAACAACGTCAAAACATTGGCTGGTTTTTGAATAGATACGGTTATTACTTTTTTGATATCATCATATAACCTCATATTGATTTTATCGTAAAATATTTTTTTTTGTGATTTTGAAATGACGAACGTGAAACATTTGGACATATCAATGGAAAAATGTAGAGCATTGATTCTTTAGTAAAGCCTTGATTGTCACAGAAATCACTGTGCCAAACATTAAGTTAAATAGCGATATCCATGAGAACAAGCTAAACTATAACCCAGCAATAGAGGATACGCACGTATGACACGGAGCACGTTAATTTTGGAGGTGTCCTAAAGGAATTTTTCCATACCGGGTGTTTAGTTGTGAACATCATGGCGGATATGATAAATGAAAGGAGGCGTCTGTTTGTATGAATATGAGCACACATGTTAAGTGATGATGAGTGCCATGAATCTCTGAAGCATCAACGACGGTAATTAAGCAAATTATGAAAACCTAGTTTAAATTTACATAAATATGTCTTAGAGATGATCCCAACGGTATTGCCAAAAATGTGGTTTGCCATTATTTTTCCGATGAAATGTAATGTCTTTAAGCATGTCATCAGTTGTGCAAAAGAGGCATTAATGGCAGCTAAGAAAGACTAAAAGAGTAACATTCATTTATATTTTAGCAAGTAGGCCAACTTTGCATATCTCGTTTTAAGCATATCAGTAAAATTGAACTTCGTAGTCCAATGTAATCTGCCAATGACTTGACTTAATAAGAGAACTATTACCCAATCGACTTTTTTCTATTTATAACAAGGAACAAATCAAATTGAGAAAGAAACAATACTGAAGAATTTATGCTTACAGTCTACAAAATATCCCTTTAATTGAGCTGTATCTAAAAGGCAAACATTGGGATAGATGTGTTGTTAATGATTTTTGCTTCTGCGTTTGCTCTAATTATTGCTAATCTTATCTGAAAGTGATATTTTTCAAACAATATAATTTAAAAATTCTCACCATCAACAAATTTAATCTATGAAATAAATTTACAA